GGTATGTATGGGACCACTGTATGCATCGGACCACTGTATGTATGGAACCACTGTATGTATGGGACCACTGTATTTATGGTACCACTGTATGTATAGGGTCTCTGTACGTATGGAACCACTGTATGTATGGTACCACTGTATGTATGGGACCAATGTATGTATGGGAGCCACTCACGGGGTCACTGTATGTACGGGACCACTGTATGTATGGGGGCCACTGTATGTATCGGACCACTGTATGTACGGGATCACTGTATGTATGGGACCACTGCATGTGTGGTTCACTGTACGTATGTATGTATGTATGTATGTATGTATGTATGTATGTATGTATGTATGTATGTATGTATGTATGTATGTATGTATGTATGTATGTATGTATGTATGTATGTATGTATGTATGTATGTATGTATGTATGTATGTATGTATGTATGTATGTATGTATGTATGTATGTATGTATGTATGTATAGGGTCACTGTATGTATCGGACCACTGTATGTATGGGGTCACTGTATGTATTGGGTCACTGTATGTGTGGTACCACTGTATGTGTGGTACCACTGTGTATAGGGTCCACTGCATGTATGGTACCACTCTATGTATGGGGGCCACTGTATATATGGGACCATTGTATGTATGGGACCACTGTATGTATGGGGCCACTGTATGTACGAGACCACTGTATGTATGGGGCCACTGTATGTATCGGACCACTGTATAAATATAAATGGGACCACGGTATATATCGGAGCACGGTATGTATGGGACCACGGTATGTATGGTACCACTCTATGTATGGGGGCCACTGTATGTATGGGACCATTGTATGTATGGGACCACTGTATGTATGGGACCACTGTATGTATGGGACCACTGTATGTATGGTACCACTGTATGTATGGGACCACTGTATGTATGGAACCACTGTATGTATGGGGCCACTGTATGTATTGGGACCACTGTATGTATGGTACCACTGTATGTATGGGACCACTGTATGTATGGGGGCCACTGTATGTATTGGGACCACTGTATGTATGGAACCACTGTATGTATGGGGCCACTGTATGTATTGGGACCACTGTATGTATGGGACCATTGTATGTATGGGACCACTGTATGTATGGGGGCCACTGTATGTATTGGGACCACTGTATGTATGGAACCACTGTATGTATGGGGCCACTGTATGTATTGGGACCACTGTATGTATGGTACCACTGTATGTATGGGGGCCACTGTATGTTAGGTACCACTGTCTGTATGGTACCATAGTATGTATAGGGGCCACTGCATGTATGGTACCACGGTATTTAGGGGGGCCACTGTATGTATGGGACCACTGTGTGTTTTGGGCCACTTTATGCTTGAGGCCACTGTATGAATATGTATCAGCATTTAAATTCTGATGTCGTTGATACATGACCATTTCAATACCAATTCTATCCTATGTTACTTTCTGTTGTCACTAGATGAACTGATGGACAGCAGTAAACAAGCTGCAAGCTCTGGCCAGGCTCAAGCTGACATAAATAGAATCTATTATTTATTATAAATATATCTATGTAAGTTGAACCCTGATATTGGGTATAATTGTGATATCACTCTGGAAGGAGGTATAGCGTCGAGGGTATACCGTGTATTTCTTGAAATGCATTTCACTATTTATCAACTTCGGCATTTATGTCGGACACGTAAGATCACTTATGTATCATGAGTGACTGCACTTCATCGCCTACTTTGTCTTTACCCACTGGTCAGTGGTCTACGGCTGTAGCCAGGCTGGCCAGTAGGGGATGACCCCAACTAGGGCACGCAGCAACGCGTGATCGCATTGGTCACTTTGAATGTTAGCCCGACAATAGCCCAATGAATAATGACCCCAAGTAGGACACACGCGTGAAGGTATGCGTGTCTCTTCAGGTCTATATAAAGGTTTGGAGGGAGTCGTCCTAAACAAGTTTTTAAATACTGGTAAACATTTTACTGATATTGAAGGCGAGCGTGGAGATTTAAATTATCCACCCTTAGTGCTCCTATCCCAACTTAACATATATGTATTTTCGATGTTCTATTCTTTTGCTATGTTTGTGTAACGCTTCTGTCATTGTTTATTTTTTTCAATTTCTTACCGTTGAATGCCAGAAGGTATTCCTTTTTTTACGGCTCGAGTTTTATTTCTGGTGTTTAAGCCTGGTCTTGTCGATAATTGTACATATTTGTGCTGTTGTCAAGTATTAAAGATAAATTTTTTTTTTTTAAATAACGTGGGATATTTTATGTGAAGAAATGTAAATATGCACCTGTATTCTATGGTGTTCCTTTTTATTGATTTATTGAAGGAGAGCAGTAAACAAGGTGCAGATTCTGAGCAAGGTCAGACTGACGTAAATATTGTTACAGTATCAATGTACACAGGTGATTAATAGTTCTTATGATGCTGAAGTAATGCTATATATAACTGAATTCTGTTTTATTTTCGAACTCCATGGTAAACGATCATAAGCATTTGTCTTTTTATGCAAACAAATGAAAAAGTCAGTATAAAGGGATTTTATATTTAATCCAGATCACAGAAGAAATATACGGAGTGTAACAAAACAGTGCTCGACAAATTGTTTTGAAATAATAATAGAACACGTATTTAAATAATGTATATGTTTAGATATTTAACCTATATATATGATTAGGTAGTCGAATTGTGGAAAATTTGTGTCTCTAGGTTAATCAAGTTATATTTACGCTTCGTGTGTCCAGCGATGTGTATTTCCCGAGTATGTTCACTATTAAGCCACTTCCAGGTATTATCTTTATTGGACCGAAGTTGTTAGCGTCATCACCAGAGGAGTTTACCTTCTCTTACCTTGTATACTGCTATCACGGTCTGTGCTAATGGATAGATATGTATTCACTGTCAACGGGTGACGTAATACAACAACAACCCCTCTACCTGTGAAGAGTTACTAGTACTAGTATAGATAAGTGACTGAGAGTGTCGCGAGAGTGAGTGCTAACTTGTCAGTATTTAGGTGTACACAATGTAAATAAATTTGTATATTTGTGTAATTATTCTGGTTTTCCTGTGTATTTTCCCTTGAATATTAAACCGAGGCTCGTCCCATGTTACATGATAAACGTGATGATTCAATTTCTCTATTGTGAATTTTCCATTTCTGGATAGAAATTTTCCTGCATCTCCACGCTATGTTATTTACATGTCTAATTTGATTCGATAGTCAAGGGCCTGATCCCACTATCATGATTTTCGTGCAATCATCAAATGTCTGACAAACTCGTAACACACTGGTTGATGAAAATTATATGGAAGTTTAATGGTCGCCATAGTGATCTGATTGAGAAATATTCTATTATTTTGAGCTACAATGAAGTTGGACGTATTTGATGCTCGTTAGTTTGCTTGTTGGTCCCGTTGTTATATACCTTGTTCCCATTTGAGAACATGAAATTTCTTACTTGGATTGACCAAGGTTAGCAGAAGACGCTTACTCTTCCGGAGCACCTTATTCCCCTTGTACTTTTTCATTACTTTCTCCGTGTATGTTTTTCTTTGTCCATATTTTGCCGTAGTTGAATGGAATTTGAATTTGAATTATGATTATGTTGTCATGTTGGTATTTTAAAAACAGCGGAAGCGGAAGGTCATCATACAGTGTACTGTTAACGTACTGAATTTGTCGTAATCCAATCCTGGTGCCCTACTACTTCTTTTGATAAATTAACGCAAACATGAATAAGCCCATCCGTAAATTTTTTGTAGAATCGACATTCAAAAACTGCAATAAGCACAATCATATTTGCAACGTATTGTAAGATTACCTCTAAAATATGTAAGTTTAAAGTATAGTTATAGATTGTGTTGACAAGTTAATTATCTACAATACAATGATGTCCAACTGCTTACCTTAACGCTGTGAGGTCAGAAGTACATTCATTTATATAATGTAGATCTACAATTATCTAATATATGAAATGATGTATTTTTCAATAACCGATAGTCTAAAAAGCAATAGAAGATAAACATTTAAAAGGCTATAAAAACGATGCCATTTCTGTACACCGTTTGTCCATCTTCCACCAGAATATCGTAAATACATCATTGTGAGTGCGATGTTATGTGTTGCTACAAATTTACCTACAGTAATGTTTTACATAGCTCAGATATACCGTAAACAAAAACACGACTGTTATGAGACTGGTATGTTTTTCTCATAACAAATTTTGTTTACATCATTCATATCAATCTGTATGTTATATGAACACAAACTATTAAACGGTTGTTGATGGTTTCTAGCATGAAAACATTTGTTTCACATGTATAACAAAACTTAACAATGGCTTTACTGATAGAGTTTAACATACAAATGTACATCAAACTTCATACAAATAAACCCAATAAAAACTGCATTATAAATAAAACTCATTTATGATTGAGATAAATGGGGAAAACGGAACATGATGTCAGGCCAAACATGCGTAAGATCAATACAAAACATGAATTATAGTGGTGCATATGTACGAAAAGCATGATACAAATTGTAAAAGAAAAATCTTTGCCATAAATAGTCATATCCATTGTTAAAGTCACCAACGCCTGGTGGATTGACGTCAAAGAGTTTGGGTGCCGAAGATTTCTGAAAGCCACAACAGAAATCCGAACCGCGGACATGTAATCAAACTCACCTGTAGCCGACCGGACTCGACAACAATCGTATCGAGAGGTGAAAATATAATCAGGGTACTACCTACGTGATATCTACGTCAAAATATTGATATCTACAAAATGTTGTTAACAGTACAGTGAGTATTTATTCTTAAAAAATAAAAATGTATTCCAAATTGAAAATTTATTAAGATTAGGAAATAGAACGTTCACAAGATACGGACTACCCTACATAATATGTACGTATTTTGTGTTTCTGTTGTAGTTGAAAGTCATCCCAGGTATTCGTAAAAATGGCGGCGACAAGTGAGTATTTAGAAGGTCTTATAGACGCTAGCGGAGGCTTTTCCAGATTCCAGATCCTTTTGTTTTCCTCGGTCAGTATGAGTAAAGTAGGGCCGACATGGAGCATGCTCGTTATGACGTTTGCTGGGGCGATTCCATCTTGGCAATGTGAAAACGGTGTAAACGATTACACATCACACAACAATCTTTCAACTTTGAACCCTGCGCATAGTAATGGAAGCGCATCTTTTCAACAATGTTATCCTTCCGGTAATTCTACATCCGACGGTTGCACTGACTTCAAGTTTGCTGGCGATATGAACACAATCGTCAGCGAGGTGAGTATAACCACAACGAGAAAAACATAGCAGTGTCTGATTTTCCTTTATATTGAAATGAGTTTTCAGAACATTTCAAACTTGTATTTTTCTCGCAAAATGAAAGTATCGAAACGTTAAAGAAATATTACTGAATGCTTTATATAATGGTTCATTTAAAACTAGATAAATATACAACGGTGCATTAAAAATTATCTTATGGAAAAAATCATCATTCTACTGCTCTCCTGATAATTAGCTGTAAATCAGCATTTGAAATGTGTTTCTATATTGACATATATTATTGTAAACATAGGAAGTATAAACAGATGACTTTAATCTATTCAGTGGTCCTTGATTTGCGACAAAGACTGGGTAGCCTCCACGATCACCACAATCCAGATGATTGGTCTACTTGTGAGTGGACTCACCGCTGGTCATATAGCTGATGGAATTGGCCGGAAGCCTACCTACTTCATGTCTTTACTCATGCTTGTCATCTGTAATGTTATCGCTGGATTCTCCACTTCTTGGAAAATGTTTGCAGTTATGCGCTTTTTGCTGGGATTCGGATCCGGATGTTATTTGACAGTATTCTATAATTTTATGATGGAATTCATTCCTTCCAAACACAGACCCATCGTCGTTGCCTTCCCATCATGGGCTGTCTGGGCATGCGCACTCGGCTTCCTATCCAGTTGGCTTCGAGATTGGAGCCACATCCATTTCGCTACAGCTGTCATGACTGCTCCGTGGATCTTCTTTTGGTGGTAAATAGAATGCTAGGATCTAAAATATTTAAAAGAAATGTAAATCAACAAAGGATTGACAGAATGAATAATTTAGTTTCATCTTCGACATTTTCCATTTTTGCCTTGCTCTTGTCAATGACCACTAACCGATTATTCTTTAAGAGCATACCGCTTCAAAGTAAACATTATAACAGGACATTTCTCTACGAAATCGACATGATAATGACAACACTCTTCCTAGTTGTTTTATCAAGGAGTGATGCTATGATCACTCTAGCTGCTCATACAATATGTTATTATACAATGCCTGAAAAACATTAGATTGCAATTATTTGAAAGTTCGGCTTCATAAATAGTTCAGAAAAAAATGAGTTTACATACATTGTTGAATGAGAGGAATGATTTAATAACGTTAATATTTAGGGTGACCCCTGAGAGTTTTCGATATCTGGTGTCCCATAATAAAATCAACGAGGCGAAGGATGTCGTACGGATGATGGCACGCATTAACGGTCGACCTGTTCCTGATCTCCAGAAACTCCGTATGCTCGCTGACATTGATAAGGCGATAGATGAAAGGAAGTACACGGTGAAGGATATCTTCTCGTCGAAAACACTCCGGAAGTATACGTTTCTTCTCGGTGTCGGATGGTAAGTGTACTACAAATATACTAGCTATCAAGTTGGCGATGGATTGAGATCAACTACCTAAATCATCGTTAATATGGTCGTGTTAAGAAGCAGAATAGACTCATTTGTCCTTGAAAGGAGAACGAATACTTGATTCTTATCTACATTGTCATATTATGACGCCACATCTCCCAAGTACAGTAAAAAAGTAATTTCACTAGGAAACCCCTTGACATATCTGTCAAATATTGCTATGACTCTCCACCCGAACGGTGCATATAACCAATCTCCCTGCTGGTTTCCTTTACATGTCGGAGTACGATTTCGTCTTACTTCACCATACATTGTTCCGAAATGACTTAAAATGACGTTGATGTTGTGGGTTTTTATAGAAGCTAACGTCGTACAAGACCTTTTATTTTCACATGATCGATAACGCTGAATTTTGATGGATTTTTTTTGTTTTAGGTTGTCATGTGGTTACGGTTATTATGCTATCTCGTTTGGTGTACAGAGCCTATCCGGGAGCCTTTTCTATAACATGTTTCTACTCACCGTTGTTGAGGTACCCGCTCAGATGTCAACATACTATCTGTCCAACAAGTAAGCATGAAGTAGGAATGTAGTCATGAAAATTACTGTTGATAAATGCATTTTGTTGTTTTTATCAACATTCTCAATCACAAATCTGAATTGATTTTAATATATCATTCCTTGATTTCCGTATGAAAATAGTCCATACGGAGATTGCTATTTCTGAAGATATGCAAATGTCCAAGGCGTTTGTCAGAACTTCGATGTATTGTGTAAAAATATTCGCGAAAACAACCTGTCTTTTCATTATTTTGTCTTATTGTTTTTCATGTCCAATTCCCAAATTGAATGAATTTGAATTTGTGATTAGCTAGGAAACGACATCGTAATGACCATTTTCTTTTGATTTATATTTATAAATGATTTTGAAAAAAATATAATCCTGCAATGATACTGATGAAGTTCAAAACATTAATTCAAAAAATATTTTACTGGCAACATTTCCACGATAGTTATAATATAAACACAGAGCTCTTCTCCTCAAATCAGGGATACACATCTGATTGGTTCATTAACAATTTGTTTGTGGTAACATAAACACTTTCAGTAAACGTGAACTATAACCAATTTAATCAGTGTTTATGTTTTTCCGTCCTTAGATTTGGAAGGAAGTGCACAGCGTTTGGGTTTTTCACAATTTCAAGCCTTTCCTCAATCGTTGTTGCCGTAACACAGATCACAGGTATGTTTTGTACAAATCACAGGTATATGTACTATATGTGGATTACAGATATAAGTATAAATCACACGTATATATATAATCACAGATATATCTAGGGATAGTTTACCTTAGCTATAAACAAGCAGCGGATAGAAACTTTTAAATCGGTGTTTAACACCCAAGTGAACCAAAAGCTGACTGTACTGACTTGGCAAGGTTTCGATCTTAGAGTGGATTTCTAGTCATATCTGAATCATCTGATACCGCATGTTTTCCATTACATGGACACTGTTTTTCAGATATTGAACTGAAGCATCAACTAATGAATGGATTTGCGATGGCAGCGAAAATGGGTGTTGCTGCAGGATGGTCAGCCCTCATGTTACTGACCACCGAAAACTACCCTACAGTTGTTAGGTTAGATATAACATTGTACCTATCCATGTATAATTATAGTAAAGATAAGTATTATTAATCATTCAATTTTTTAATATTCATTAATAATTTATCTGCTAATGGTTTATTATCTTAGTGTTATCATTTATTTCATTCTGGCTAAAGAGAATGTCAGAAGATTTCAATAACGAATGCATTTTGTTTTGTCATTTTCTATTCAGTTTCTAAAACTTTTGAAATATATGATGTGTATATCTATCAAGAATTCGGTAAAACGAGTTTTTTTTGACAAGTTAAATCCCAAAATAACTTGGTCTTGCTAATTATAAGTATGCAAATCAGATAATGATCAACATGCGATATCGTTCTGTCAATGTTTCCAGAAACATTGGATTTGGTTTACAATGCTCCGTCAGCAGAGTCGGTGGGATGGTGGCGCCACTAGTTGTTTATCTGGTAAGTTGATTGACTTTTGTATGTCACGTGTTCTTTTTATAGCCAATGATATGCATTGTTTGATTATGAATTATTGTTCAATGTCTGTGACAGGGTGGAAATAACCTAAACACTTTGTGTGTTTGTCTATAACAGGGAGGAAATAACCTACACACTTTGTGTGTTTTTAGAGCTCGTTAGAAAGTTGAATGTTGTTATGTAGAACACAGTGTGGAGAGTAATATATTTATTTGCTCTCACCTTTGTGTATGTTTGTGGGTTTTATTTGTGGGTATTTGGAGAGAGAGAGAGAAGGGTGGGGCGGGGGAGGTTAAACCGACATTTTACGACATTTTTTTCTTGTCAAAACCATGATCATCTGGATAATTTAATTTGCTTGTAAATATAAATTTCATACCAATGATTCTTTTGTGTGAACAAGTCTCTTTGTTAAACAACACCCTGAACATATAGACTTGTCACGGCTCATACTCATTGCGTTTTATTGTCTACAGAATCATCACTTTCCTGGTGCATTATACTTCATATGTGGAGGACTTCTGTTGATCTCGGCGGTGTGTACGTTATTTATACCGGAAACAAAGGGGAGGGCAATGCAGGATGTCATCGACGAAAACGCCACCAGAGGGAGTCCTTGTCAGCTACATTCTTTACTCTCATCAGACTCACCTTCAGACGAATCATCGGGTACTGTCACCGAAAACGTGCCGTCTAAAACTTCAAATCACTGACATTTTACAATATATTGCATAAAACCGAAAACAGTGGGACTTAAACATAGTTTTACTGTTATACAAACAATCCATTTACAACAATCTCAGGTACAGTAAATAAAGACCGATGCTTTAACATACACTGCCTAGTATAGTAAGATGAATAAAATCATCCAAATCAACTATTATGTTGTAACATTTTAAAATACATTTCTAGTATTATAGTACAGTCAAACCTCGTTATCTCGAACTTTTATAACTCGAAGATCCTGTATAATTCGAAGTAATCTCGGCCACACTTAACACTAAACATTCGATGTCATTTTAAATCGAATACTCGGATAACATGAAGTTTTCCCCGGTCCCGCCGACTTCGAGATATCGAGGTCCCACTGTATTATTGAACATGACGAAGCATTGTCAAAAGATTAGATAAAACTACAGGACTGATATATGAAGAAACAAACACATAATTAAAACAGGGAATGGCAGGGAATCTAGCTAGAACACAAGAGGCAGCTGTAAATAGTGACAACCAGACTCTAGAGAGTACAAGAAGAAATCGGAAACGAACGCGCTGCCCTGAGCTCGTTAAGTAGACGTTTCTCACTCTTACCGCCTTTAAGCGGAAACAGCCAAACCAGACAGCATTAATTCTTGGCAGTTCCACTGACTTTCTTTTGTGAAAATGTGAGAGACATTTTCATGATTGATTAAATCTGGAATATTTTCATGAGATAAGACAAACCTTATTGGTCATTAATTCAGTGTATCCTGTAACTATATATAGTCATTTCAAATGTCATCAAAAGAAATAGAAGTATTTATCTACTATAAAACGATAGGATTTTCATTGTAGTGATGTTACCGTTAATCCAAAAGTGCTGGGCCAATGACACCCCTCTAGGTGCCGCCAGTCACTGACCGATGACCCAGGATGTACATTGTAGGTAAAAATCAGACCCACGACACTACCGTCAGACTCACGGCACTACCCTCAGACTCCTCATGACACTACCCTCAGACTCACGACACTATCCTCAGACTCACGGCACTTCCCTCAGACTCACAACACTATCGTCAGACTCACGGCACTTCCCTCAGACTCACAACACTATCGTCATACTCACGACACTACCATCAGACTCACGGCACTACCGTCAGACTCACGGCACTGCCCTTAGACTCACAACACTATCGTCAGACTCACGACACTACCGTCAGACTCACGGCACTACCGTCAGACTCATGGCACTACCCTCAGACTCACGACACTATCCTCAGACTCACGACACTACCGTCAGACTCACGGCACTACCCTCAGACTCACAACACTATCGTCAGACTCACGACACTACTGTCAGACTCACGGCACTACCCTCAGACTCATGGCACTGTCCTCAGACTCATAACACTACCCTCAGACTCACGGCACTTCCCTCAGTCTCACGCACTACCCTCAGACTCATGGCACTGTCCTCAGACTCATAACACTACCCTCAGACTCGCGGCACTATCCTCAGACTTACGACACTACCCTCAGACTCACAGTACTTTCCCGCAGCTTCTTCACCAACAGGTTGTGTGGCAGACATTCGAACGCATTGAACAAGTCCACATGTATGTTACAAATATTCTTGTACCTGTCCAAGGTAATTCGTTAGTCGGCGTAAAATAGACTGGCACCCGAAGAAAGTCCTGGAGGCCACGAGGTGCTGGAGATATGTGGCGAACGACGTCACGTGACTGTTAAGCATTTCCGCATTTCTTACATTTCTGAAATATCACAATTGGTTCTCAAGAGAAAAAAGATTTTCCTTAACTTCAATCGTTCTTAATATTGTTCATCTGGCAATAAAAATTATTTTTTCGGTATCGAGATATCTACATACATCGTGAAGAATTCGAAAATACGATACTTTTTTGATGCCAAGATTAAAAAAACAAGGCATTATATGTACACTAACAGCTGAAATATGTTTATGTATCCTCAAAATTAAAAGGCGCCGCTTTTAATGAAAATATCTCCGCACATATACTTTTAGAACAAATTTGAACACCGCAAACGAGAAAAGCCTTGGGCTAATAAAACTCATTTAAAGATAAAGAACTATTATATACAGATGTAGGTGTTGTAAATCCGCACTATTCGGAGGAGATTTATACAGAACACAACAGATGTACTAGCCTAGAACACACCAGTACTTAATTGACTAAAGCTATTAATAGAAAATTAAGTAATATCACCAACAGAGCTGTGTGACGTAGATGTATCTAATCTGGTTTTTGAAAAATGACGGTCCACATATGTTACAAATATTAAATGTACAGTAAATATGTCCATAGGAAGATGTGTATTAGTGTAAAGATGTCGTACCAATTAGACTGGCACCCGAAGAAAGTCCTGGAGGCCACGAGGTGCTGGAGATATGTGGCGAACGACGTCACGTGACTGTTAAGCTCCGCATTTCTTACATTTCTGAAATATCACAATTGGTTCTCAAGAGGATTTTCCTTAACTTCAATCGTTCTTAATATTGTTCATCTGGCAATAAAAATTATTTTTTCGGTATCGAGATATCTACATACATCGTGAAGAATTCGAAAATACGATACTTTTTTGATGCCAAGATTAAAAAAACAAGGCATTATATGTACACTAACAGCTGAAATATGTTTATGTATCCTCAAAATTAAAAGGCGCCGCTTTTAATGAAAATATCTCCGCACATATACTTTTAGAACAAATTTGAACACCGCAAACGAGAAAAGCCTTGGGCTAATAAAACTCATTTAAAGATAAAGAACTATTATATACAGATGTAGGTGTTGTAAATCCGCACTGTTCGGAGGAGATTTATACAGAACACAACAGATGTACTAGCCTAGAACACACCGGGTAGTCATCCTTAATTGACTAAAGCTATTAATAGAAAATTAAGTAATATAAACGGAACGAAAGAGCTGTTTGACGTAGATGTATCTAATCTGGTTTTCTGAAAAATGACGGTCTCACATATAGCCAAACGACATTAAATGTACAGTAAATATGTCCATAGAGAAGATGTGTATTAGTGTAAAGATGTCTGGTACCAATTAGATTACTTTTCTTGTTGGTAGGACTCCCAACAATATTAAACCTAAATAGACCACACATTGATTGAGTATACTGCAGCCAATAGCGACTGAATGATTGCTTAACCTCGTTCTAGTATTGGACCATTTTGCTCGCCATTTCTTTGTCCTATTAAATTTCTCTTTGACTTTTGTTTTTCCAGAAATTATATTAAACGAATGAAACTGATTATTTCTTATCAAATATCAATGGACTTCCAAACTACATATAAAACATACCCTAGATATTTTTTCCGAATTTCAAACACGATTTATCTCCCTTAGCTTATCTTCTCACCAAGCAGTAAACTGTATCAGCAGAAAATTAAAAATTCAACCTTTCTATACTTCCATTTTGTGTAAATAGAAAAACATCGGAATATCTAAATTGTATGACTGGTTAAAAAATTCTGATGAAATCTTTTTCTTCGTTGAGCGTTTTAAAGATGACAAAGAGTACAAATGGATAGACTGAAAGTCAGGGTACAAAATAACAACTAGTACAAACACTAAATAGGAGAAAGCAAAATGGAAAATTGACGATTGAACAACAGGAAAGTGAAAAGAGTAACCAAAGTGGAATAAGTAACTCCGATTTTAGGGGACTGTGAAGTGATAACGACTCTGATGTTATGTGACTGTGAAGTGATAACGACTCCGGAACTGTGAAGTGATAACGACTCCGGGACTGTGAAGTGATAACGACTCTGATGTTATGTGACTGTGAAGTATTAACGACTCCGGGACTGTTAGGTGACAACGACTCCGGGACTGTGAAGTGATAACGACTCCGGGACTGTGAAGTGATAACGACTCTGATGTTATGTGACTGTGAAGTATTAACGACTCCGGGACTGTTAGGTGACAACGACTCTGATGTTACGTGACTGTGAAGTGATAACGACTCTGTGAAGTGATAACGACTCTGATGTTATGGACTGTGAAGTGATAACGACTCTGATGTTATGTGACTGTGAAGTATTAACGACTCCGGGACTGTTAGGTGACAACGACTCTGATGTTACGTGACTGTGAAGTGATAACGACTCCGGGACTGTGAAGTGATAACGACTCTGATGTTATGTGAATGTGAAGTGATAACGACTCAGCTACTGTCAAGGGATAACGTCTCGGGGGCTGTTAGGTGACAACGACTCTGATGTTACGTGACTGTGAAGTGATAACGACTCCGGGACTGTGAAGTGATAACGACTCTGATGTTATGTGACTGTGAAGTGATAACGACTCCGGGACTGTGAAGTATTAACGACTCCGGGACTGTTAGGTGACAACGACTCTGATGTTACGTGACTGTGAAGTGATAACGACTCCGGGACTGTGAAGTGATAACGACTCTGATGTTATGTGACTGTGAAGTATTAACGACTCCGGGACTGTTAGGTGACAACGACTCTGATGTTACGTGACTGTGAAGTGATAACGACTCCGGGACTGTGAAGTGATAACGACTCTGATGTTATGTGACTGTGAAGTGATAACGACTCCGGGACTATGAAGTGATAACGACTCCGGGACTGTTAGGTGACAACGACTCTGATGTTACGTGACTGTGAAGTGATAACTACTCCGGGACTGTTAAGTGATAACGACTCCGGGACTGTGAAGTGACAACGACTCTGATGTTACGTGACTGTGAAGTGATAACGACTCCGGGACTGTGAAGTGATAACGACTCTGATGGGACTGTGAAGTGATAACGACTCCGGGACTGTGAAGTGATAACGACTCTGATGTTACGGGACTGTGAAGTGATAACGACTCTGATGTTACGGGACTGTGAAGTGATAACGACTCCGGGACTGTGAAGTGATAACGACTCCGGGACTGTGAAGTGATAACGACTCCGGGACTGTGAAGTGATAACGACTCTGGACTGTGAAGTG